CTCAGAGGGTTGTTCAGCTACATGTTAGTTCACGGCTCCCATCAGGCTGCTTTGATTTCTGTTGAAGCACAATTCAAAGCAACGTCATGATGTTCATTAGATGTTTATTTATTATGACTTTGGCCAGTTTCAGCTGATTCCAGTGACTGAAGCTGCTGGTTTCCTTCTCTAATGGGAGGCTGTGAACACATCTGAGGACGACTGTGTGCAGAACACCTAGACTGAACCCAGCTGCATTGTGGGAACGTTCCCCACAAGTTCTAATAATGTTAGAAAGAAAACGTGTTCAGTCATTTCTAATCCTGTTCCTGTGAGGTTGAAGGTGAACTGAGATGTTTCACATTCAGAGGATGTTTGGAGCCTGTTGTCAGATCAGGACAACAAAAGAAGAAGGTTCTCGAAGCAGCATTCAGAAAATGTTTTCAAGACAGCTGTAGGAGACAAAACGTTGCTGTTGAGAACGTTCTCCTATGAGACACGTCTCTGGAGAACTTCACCCCGCCTCGAAGAAGAACCTGACAGACACCTGAAAACGCTACGAGAACGTTGCAGAACTTTCTCAGAACGTTGTTAGAACAAAGCTGGAAGGCGTCTCTTTCTCTCCCTCTGTGCTGCTTTATTGATCACTATTACTTTTGTCTGTTTGTTGTTGCGCGTAAAACAAAGACAACAGACGACAGAGAGACGCGGTGATGGAGGACAGACAAACACAAGTCTTCTCCAGCACGTCATGTGTCTGTGCTTTCATGCGCTTCAGGAGATACCTGAGCACAGGTGTGTGACTGGTTTCATTCTGTGGGCTTTTGCACCGTGAGGAGAATCCATTTAATCACACTTCTTCTCACTCGTTTGTCTTTGTCCTTGTCAAGCAGTTTGTAATCGCAGGTTCTGATGTCAATAAATGAGCAAAAACCCTCTGAAATGGGAGGTTTTGATGCTTTTAGCGTCTTAACAATAATTTTTTTGGGTTGTTGTTACATGCGACTGGCAGGTTTTGACATTTTGTAGATTAAATGAGGAATAAAAAAGAAATTAACATCCACAGAGTTGTAATCAGCTCCTGTTAGCTTTAAAATAATCAATACATATCAACACTATCAAATATCAAAGATGAAGTGACTCTAGTAATAATAAATAATCAAAAAAAGGTTGTTCTAACTAAATACATAAATGTGAGTCTCAGATGAACAATGTGCTGTGTGGCCTCCAGGTGGAGATGATGATCCAGCAGCAGCAGAGTTTAATACCTCCTCATGTTAATCACATGTTTGGTGTTTTCTGGACACATGAAGCACTTTGACATGTTCACTGAAACAAGGAACACGTGATCATTAGATGGAAAATTAATTAGCTTGACACATTTTTATAATGGCATCACCAAAGATGACACTCAGCATGCAGGCGGGACACGTGTAGTTAAATTATTATGTTCTACAACTTCAATATGATCAAAGTAAAATTAAAATCCTGAGTTTATTGCAAACTCTGAAGCCACTTCTCCTCCAGCCTCCATGTTGTGTGACATGTCCGGGGTTTTTATTGATGTACGAGCTGATGGGTGCAGGACAGAAGTCACATCTTGACTTATGACCACTGGTGTTTGAATCCCTTCAATGTCTCACATTTTCACATATGACAAAATAAAGTTGGTGTTTTTTCCTTCAGACTAACGGACACGACTCTTTACTTTGTTCTGGATGTTACGGTGAAATTCCTCTGATTCATTTCTTTTGGTTTCCTTCCACCTGTTAAATACTTTCAGAGTCCAGAACAGATCGACATGGACCAGGTCTGCTGCTCAGAGGGGAATTTAATCACAATGAACTATCACAGATAAACATGTCGGCTTCAAGAAATACTGATTACTGCTTCTTTGTGTCATTTTAAATGCAGCAGGTGACAGAATGTTGGCTGTCCAACACATGGATCCAGGTCCAACCGGAACCAGTTGGTTCTGCTCACATGTTTCATCTGTGATGCACTGATCAGCACTGGATCACATGTTCTGCCTTCAACACAGCTGATGTGTGGTTCTGCAGGTGACCCCAGGTGAGGGAGAGCAGCAGTGCCTCCGCTCGGCCGGCAGGTGGCGACATCTCCCAGCGAATGTGTTCGGATTAGAGGAAGCCGAGTGAGCTGCCAGAACCCCGGTGCACCTGATGGAGCTGCTCGGCTGTTCCTAGCCTCCATCCAGAACACATGCCAGAGGATGCTGGTGTCCCTGCTCCCCCTCAGCTGAGCTCACCTGCTCGTTCAACGCGAACGGAGCCGCTCGTGTTTGGAGGGAAATCCGCGTCCGAGCCGCGAGCCGCAACGGCGTGACGCAACTCACACCTTCCTGCTGCAACGCTGAAATATGAATCAGCAGCCGCTCGGACGCTCGTTCTGCCTCTGAATGCGCTCCAGACGCTGATCCGAGGGGGGTGTGGCGCCGAGCGGCTCCGGTCCAGCTGCAGCCGCCCACAGAGCCCCGCTGGCGGAAAGACGCAGGAGCGACGCGCCGGAGGTCTCAGCGCGGTCCTGTCTGCTCGGACTCCGGCTGGCTGGGGAGCTGAGGTCGACCAGGCGGCACCTCGGCAGCCCTCCGCAGGCTCCGGGGCTGCGGATAAAAAAAACGCAGGAATCTCGGCGCATTACGCAGATCGGACGCCTGGATGCGGATCAGTGGCCTGCGGACGGAGATGCGATAAGTACGGTAAGATCAGAGGTGTGTTTGGTTTTCCGCTCTTTTATTGCCTCCAGGATCAGCCAGACATGGGGGAGCAGCGCAGAGGAGGACAAAGGGGCGGATGGAGGAGGAACAGGAGCTCAAATCTTCCTGTTTTTACAGCAGCCACAGTGAGAAGAGCCACTAGGGTGCAGCTCGGAGGGCTGTGGAGGCACAAAGAGGCGCATCTGAGCGTCTGTCCTCATGTGTGAGTCTCTCATCCTGCTGGCTGGCCTTCAGTCACAGCTGACATGTGAGCTGGCTTTATGGTGGGAGTGATGGTGTCCAGGCAGGTGACGGATGCAGCTCTGCTCCATCCTCTCCGCCTGCCTCCAGCAGCAGGCCCTCAGCAGCACTGTCACAGCTCCACTTTCCACTGCTTTTTAATTACATCCCCTCTTCACCCCGGGGAGGACGGCTGGAGGCCTGGATGCTCCTCGGAGGGCTTCAGTCCACTGTCCTCATGTGAACTGCTTCATTAAGGAGCTGCAGCAGCAGCAGGACAGTGTGGTTAGAAACTAAACATCTGAACAAGTGTTTAGATGGAAGCTGCACAACATGTCGTTTTAATTGTGCAACTTTCTGTCCTCAAACTGAACCTCTTCTGTCTTCAGGCATGTTAGCGCCGATCCACGGCTGTGCTGTGTGCGTCAGTGCAGATTGTGTTGCAAGAGGAGATTGAATGCCTCTAAAATCTCAAGGTAAGACCTTCCTCCTCCTCCTCCTCCTCCTCCCCCCCTGACCTTGCCCATGCATGTGTTTGTGTACGAGTGGGAGGCGGTGGAATTGATCCATGGCCTTGAAGCTCCTCGCCTCACTTTTCCTCTCCTTAATTGTGTCTCCTTCATCCTGACTCTGCTTGTTCGAGCCCGGACCTCTGTCCCATCAGCTGAGTGCGAGGATGTCGCCTCGTGCACACGTTGGATGTGTCCTGGGTTTCTGAGTGAAGGAGGGTTGTGTCAGTCTGTCTGAAGGGAATCATCTCTCTTAAGCTTCGTTTGGCAAACTGCTGTGAGTGTGGAAGCAAACGGTGGCAGCTGAAAGGTCTGACTGGTGTCAGTGGTTAAAAAGGGCCCTGATGGAGCAGTCGGCCCCCATGAGGCTGCAGGTTCACAGAAAAGTGTCCGAACACAACGTAATGTGAGTGTTTACATGTTTGTGCGCTCAGAGGGGGAACTTTCAGGTTGAATTGCGGTTCACATTTGGCTCAAACTTAAAATAAATCCAGCTGGAGGGTGTCTGGGTGTCTGAGTCAGCCCTGATGTTCCCTCTCCGTGGTCGGAGCCAGGCGGTCAGTAAATGCAGCGCGTTGACTCCTGTGGGTCTGCACATGTGTGTTGTTGTGCTTTCTGGGAAGAAGGGGCAGCATCAGCAGGAAATCAGGAAATAAGATAAAAGTGTTTCTGTTGTTTGTAGTGAGATGCAGAGAGACAGCTGCTGTAGCTCACTGCCGGCCAGCGTTCAGCAGATACCAGAGATCCTCCTCAGGTGAGCCTTCAGCTGCTAGAAGAATAAAATGACAAGTTATGTGTGAACTAGGAGAAGAATCTTGGAGTCAGGCCTCTGTGGGGACATTTTAAAGCAAAGTTGTGCGTGTTTGTTTTATAATGGTTGCTAGCTTTACATTTCTTGTAATAAAGAGCAGAAACATGGTCGTCCTGCCCTCATCGACTCGCTTTGTCCTCATAGGTGCAGTTGAAGTAAAGGCAGATGAGACTGTGTGCTCAGTTATTTGCTTAACGTGGGCACTAGTTTGTTGTTTTTTAACTTCTCTGACCAGACTGGAGGCTGATGTAGAGACATAAAGAGGAGATGTTTTCATGGTTCAGACTGAATCTTTGTGCAGCAGCATCTCATGGCAGTCGTTTGGCTTTTCCTCTGTGGCGTGGAGCAGCGGCTCAGCTTCAGACACCAACAGCCTCAATCACACCGTGGAGCCTAAAATGTGTTGGACCTGTTCTGGAACGTGATGTTTAAATGTCCGGTTACTTCTCTGCACGTGCACCAGGGTTTGCTGCAGAACATTTGTCTTTCCTTGTGGTCCAGTTTTGGGGACATGTGACCTGCTGCACTTGTGTGACGTGGTGGAAAACACACATGCACCACTGCATTAGCACATGTGCTGCACATGCACCTCACGGGGGTTTCAGTGGAGCGGCTGGCGGCTGGCGGCGCCTGTGGCGGTGATGCGCAGCCACAAGTGTCACAGCTAATGAGTGCGTTTGTGTGTTTGTCCTGTACACACTGGCTGCTGCTCACCTGGATGTCAGAAACAGAGAGTAATGGATGATGTTTGCTCGTACTGCAGCTATCTGGGCCAACAGGAAGTTGCCGTTAGAGAAAGGAGGAAGTCTTTGTTGACCAGATCACACACACAGATTTCATGCAGGATACACACTTGTTATGCAAACACTCATTTATAGAGTCTGTTCAGGACAGACATAGGATCACAGCGTTCACCAAACAGCTGCCCGAACCCGAACCCTAACCAGATTAGTTTAGCTGAGCAGAGTTCTGGTGAGGTTCTGTTTTGAAACTTACAGTTTTCAAGTATTCTGTGTTTTTAAAACCCGACAGAGTTTTTTTCTGTGTTCAATCAAAAACTATTGAGCTGTGTTCTTCTGGCTTCCTACAAATAACAGTTTATTTGTTGTTTCCATTCGTTTTGCGCCTCTGCTAGTTTTACATTCGTGGTATTCGCTCTTTGAACCACCACCTTTCTGGACTCAACTTTTTTGTTTGGCTTAAAACCAAAGTGTGCCCAGAGCGGTGCCGTGGTGTCGGGTTATCGAACCAAATCCACCGAGTGTTTACCTCGTTAACATGTCTGTGTGGTGCTTTTACATGCTGGAAGACGTATCATGAGAGAAATAAGCAGATGAGCATTTCCACCTGCAGCCGGTCTCAAAAACACTGATTCAGACTTCTGGGGTTTCATACGTCACAAACCTAAAGAACCAATCCTGTCAGCTTGCTGGGTGGGACTTCCTGTATCATTGTTCTTTTTCAGAATCGGTGTTACAGAGCTTGAGCAGAGCTAATCCACATTAGCAACGGTGTAGAGTTGCATCTAAGCCACTTTAAGGCATGAAGGGATTATTTTAATGACACAAAATGGCTTCTACATACGTAACTTTTAAACACGAGGTGAAGAGTTGGTGCCGTTAAACCACAGCAGGAAAAGTGTGGAGAATGACGGGAAGCAGTTATATGACGAGTTATTTTTATGCAGGTGGATGGAAATAACTGTCAGAATTATGCAAAGCGGTTGGACGAGGTAAATATGTCCGAGCAGCGACAGACCCGCCTGCTGATTCTGTACTATCAATATGGATCTTATAGTTTTCTTTGACTCCGTCCTGCTGTGGTCTAAATACTCACCGCAGAGCAGCAACAACAAAGACCCAGTTTACTGTCATATTCAACGCATTTGCTAAAAAACAACTTATCATTATTTTTATGACTGTTGGAGGGTTCAGATTTCATCCAGATTCGTCTCCGGAGCAGCTTTGAGCATGAAAAGTGTGACTGACCTCCAGCTGTGTGTCATCAGACCTCTGGGCTCTAGCATCCATGTCTTCTCTTCCATCACGTCTTAAAAGCCATTTTTTAGGCTGACCTTTGTGTGATGTCGTCCATTTTTATGATCTAATTTATTTTTACAATTTTATTTATTGTATTTATTTTATTCTCTTTTACCCTTTATTTATTTGCCTGTTTACTTATTTCATAATGATTTATTATAATTGTTTTTACTTCTAGCCTTGTTTTTATGTTTTTATTTTATTTATTTTTCCCCTTGTTCTGTTTCCTGACTTGGATGTGGCATTTTTAGGTTCTTTTATTATTTTTAGTGTTTTCGTATTGATTTATTTTGAAAATCTTCTACCATGTTTAACTCTATTTTTACACTTTTGCCTCTCTGGTCTTTCTTCTACTGTTTGGACCGTTATTATTATTATTATTATTGTTATTATTATTATCATCATTATTATTATTATTATGCCAACAACAGGTTATCATTTATCTAAAGTCACTTCAGATGACTTCTGTAGCACATTTAAAGCAGCAGATGTCGATTCAAAGTTGTTCCGAGTAGAGAAATGAGATCAATCTCACAAATTTGCTGCCTACATTCAATATTGAGGTTACATTTATTGAAAGAACCCCAACAAGTCCAACAGGTCGTTCTGAGCAAGCAGGAAGAACTTCCAAAGTTATTTTTGGCCTTTTTGTGTAGGACAGTGAAGGGAGAGGCGGGGCAGTGGGGGAAGGACCTGCAGCAAAGGCATGGGCGGGATTCGAACCCACGGCCGCTGTGTCGGGGACGACAGCCCCAGTACTCGGGTCGCCAGCTCAGCCAGGTGAGCTATCGCGGCAGAAGAACTCGGTTTTAATAAGTCTGGCAGAACCAGGCTCAGGGAGGGCGGACGTCTGCCTCCACTGGTCGGGCTGAGGGTGGAAGGCTTGTTAGGGGTGGAGATGTGAGATCTGACAGCTCCTCCTGTAGGACCTGCTGACAACTCATGAAACCACTGAATCGATCTCACTTACTGTGTTCAGCATCAGAGTCGCTGTCAGAAATCCACTCTTTGTTGTTTCCTGTGATGAATCCAGCAGCCGGCCTCCATTGTGTCGCTGTCAGGAAAAGAAAGGCGTCGGATAGTTTCAGCTGTTTTCAGCGGCCTGGAATCTTCTAATGAAGTTTGTTTTGCAGGCGGCGCCGACACTCGGAGTCTCGCCGGAAACACTGAATGTGGCGCGCAGCCGTAAATGTGAATATAATCCACAGAGCTACTAACAGCAACTTCACACTGCAGCCCATCAATACTCATTTCTAACTTCTATATTTAAGATTCTTCCTTTTTTCTCCCTTCAGGCGTGTAAGTTATGATCTCTGTGTCCGTTTTTTTTTTTTTTTTTTACAATCCATCCTCAGAGATTGTACGTGAACCTAAAAACCATCACAAACACTTATTTGGTCGATAAAAGGATGAAAGAGCCACATGTGATGGTGTTCTGCCTCTCCCTGCCCCCCATGTCTCGCTGCCTCCATCACTCCATTCATCATGTAATTGGACGGATTATGACTAATACCAACCCCTCTGGCTGTTTGCGGGCCGTCAAGCCGCTTTTACACAGATTATAAATTGCTTAATGTATTTGGAAGCCCGTGTGTTTGTGTGCGTTCGGTCTGGATCGCGCTCATCCACCTTTTTGATCTCTGCAAACTGTCAAATCGGGTTAGGCGGCGCCAGGCGACGCCATCTAATACGGAGCTGCTGTTTACTGAAGGAGAACCTGCTACTTGCTCGTAATGATGGAAAAAGGGGCAGGAGAAGCTGAAGTTGTCAGGAGAAAGCTCATCGATGTTGACAGCCATAATTAGAATTCATTAATGCATCAGGCGCATCTTTGAGGACTTTGCACAAACACCAAGTCTCCGTCCTCCAGTCTTTCTGCATCTGAAACCTCGGTTTCTTAGCTTTGGCTCTGCACCAGCGCGTCCTACACTCACACACTGATATATATACACGCCATGCAGACGCTGAGGAGCTGAAGATGTTGTGCTAACAAACCCTCCACACGCTCCTCGGAGGCCACGGTTATAGACCGAGGAGGAGCTGCCCTGCCAAACAAAAGGATGCGGGGATAAGTGCAGAACGAGATGAAAGCATCTCCGTTGGCATGGCAACCGGCC